TTCCATTTTTTGGGTACATAGTATATAATTCATTGATAAAACTAAGTTCACTCTTTACATCTTCGTAGGTGAATTAGATACCGGTCTATAATGGATCTTCATTCCCAAAAACAAGACAAAGTTAATTTTTAACCTACAAAGCTGGGCGCCTTGGATCGAATTGGAAAAAGAAGGTTATTCACAAACGAATTTCATGTAAACTATAAATAAATAAGCTGATAACTGAATAATCAGATATAACAATACACATGTTAATTTTTACAAATATAGTTTTCGTTTCTTATGGATATCGATAAAAAGAATATCTTTGCTGCATGCACAAAAAAGATTAGAGTTGTACTTATTTGAGGTTACTGCATAATCAAAATGATATTTTTATTCATTCATTATTCTTTGCGAGCATTTTTCAACCAAAGAACCTGGTTCTAATTATATCTGACGCTAAAAATGCCAGTACAGAAGCATCCAGATCGGAGTAATCCTGAGATCGATATTAAAATAGCGGCAAGCTCACACGATAGAAAGAATCATCACATAACATGAGAAGTAAAGAGAAGGATGTCTAGATGACAGTGTAAGCTTATACGCTCAAGTAAAAAGGGCACTATGGGCTAAATAAAAATTCGTCATCGTTTACTAGCCAAATCGGCATTAGAATCGTTTCGTCTTGTATTCGATCCTGGGAAATCTCATCTCAGCGACAGTTTCTCAAGAGGTTAATTGGTAAATTGAATTTTTAACGTATATTAAAATCTCAAGAACAGTAATTAATATCTAAATGTAATCTCTTCCATACTTTATTAAGGAATAAAAACTTTTATGAGTGATATTTAAAATAAAAGCTAAAAACCAAAAGAGTAAATTGCTAAATTTCATACATTAAATCAGTGATTCCCAAACTGTGCGCCGCGGCGCCCCGGAGAGCCGCAGCCTCTTTACAGGGGAGCCGCGAAATACTGTAAAAGCTTCAATTTGAGAAAATGTGCAGTAATTTGCAGGCTTCCATCACATTAATTATAAAATATTAATTTAATGTTAATAAAGTAAAAAAATAATGAAGATACACGAGTTTTATTTATTTTTATCTCCTACTTACGAATAGTCATACTTAGGGTAGGGCGCAATGGAAAAATCTCAATTGAAAAAGGGCACCGCGGCTAGGAAAAGTTTGGGAACCACTGCATTAAATAGTTCCATTAAATGGATATTCATTAGTTACATTTTCCTTATCTGGAGTAAGATCTATCAGTAGGCTCTTATTAGACCTCACTTGCTCCTCATTGATATTAGCCGGTTTGAACTGTCAATGATTGAGTTAAAAGTTTCTTTCGAGCCAAAAAGTCAGATATAATAATAATATCGCCTTTCCTTGTGATTGGTCAAAACCTAAAATATTCTAGAGCATGCGTGCTAGAAAGTGACGGGAAATGTGGACTAGATGATGGTTCATAATAAAATTTTATTGTTTTGGAGAATTTAATAATATAGATGCTATAACTTTTGGTCATAATTTAAGCTAACTTGCCACAAGATATACTCTGAGCATAGTTGGAATCACTTCCATGTAACCAGTCGAAGGCAACTCCTTCATTTGCAACAAAAAATCTCATTATTGTTGAATGATCAGCATATTTTCAAATATGAGTTTATAAACTCAAATATCATATATAGAAATGACGAAATGAAATTATTAGGTTTCTATATTCTTGCACTGAAATATATATAATTAGTGTATTTATAAAAATTAAAAAAATACCAGCATCTGATTTTGGTGTTATAAGTTAGCTTTGCAGAAAACGCAATGGAGAAACGACAAGTAAGAATTCTTACTCCTATTCCAGCTCCTTCCAAAAGTGTGAAATGGGCAGATAATCAAGATTAGGATGCAAGACACTTAGAAAAAGATGAAAACGTAATTAAATCTGAAACAATTATGTTGTACAGTGATATAGAAATAACTTAAATGCTAACTCACTTAAGCTCATTCAACTTTCGTCGCTTTGCCTCCTCTAGACGAAGATGCCTTAGCCTGGCTTCCTCCTCCATACGAACTCCCTCATCGAAGAAAGCATTACGTTCCGCTATTTTTTCCTGTTCTTTTTCACAGATCTGACGGCGGATTTCAGATGCATAGTTGATACCACGTTGTCGAGAACGTAACTCTTCCTGGCGATCCTTCTCGATCAACTCTTTCTGAGCTCTATAAATATGGATAAAGTAGAGAATGAATTTCATAGGTCGAAGTAATTATAGCCAGCTTAATTTCCTGGGTTATTCTTCATTTTTTATTTAATTAAATTGATTTTCTAAGTATGAATAATAATGGTTGCGGAAGAGTGGAAAATATTTGGTTTCAGGAGATCACATATTTTCTAAAATTAGGTAAACTTATTAAAATTGAGTAGCA